GGCTGTGGGATGGCAGAGGGGTGGGAAGGGGGCACTGCCTGCTGCTCCACAGCATCCCACCCCAAATCCTGCAGGAGATCCCCCCATCACCCACCACAGCTTCTGGCTGGGTCTGGGGTCACTGGGTGGTGTTTATGGGGAGGTGGGACATGGTCAGGATCATCCCACCCCAAATCCTGCAGGAGATCCCCCAATCATCTACCAGAGCTTCTGGCTGAGTCTGGGGTCTCTGGGTGGTGTTTAGGGGGATTGAGGAGGTGGGACATGGTCAGGGACATCCCAGCCCAAATCCTGCCAGAGATTCACTCATCAGAGCTTCCGTCTGTGATGGGGCTGAGACTGGGGTCACTGGGTGGTGTTTATGGGGAGGTGGGACATGGTCAGGAACATCTCACCCCAAATCCTGCAGGAGATCCCCCAATCATCTACCAGAGCTTCTGACTGTGACTGGGGTCACTGGGTGGTGTTTATGGGGATTCGAGTGGTGGGACATGGTCAGGGACATCCCACCCCAAATCCTGTAGGAGATCCTCCTCATTGTCCACCAGAGCTTCTGGCTGGGACTGAGGTCACTGGGTGGGGTTTATGGGAGGCGTGACATGGTCAGGATCATCTTATCCCAAATCCTGCAGGAGATTCCCCACCACCCACCAGAGCTTCTGAGACGGGGTCACTGAGTGGTGGTTATGGGGATTGGAGTGGTGGGACATGGTCAGGGGCATCTCGTGCTCCAGGAGCATCCCACCCCAAATCCTGCAGATCCCCCAATCATCTACCAGAGCTTCTGGCTGTGACTGGGGTCACTGGGTGGTGGTATGGGGGATTGGGGTGGTGGGACATGGTCAGGATCATCCCACCCCAAATCCTACAGGAGATCCCCCCATCACCCACCACAGCTTCTGGCTGGGACTGGGGTCACTGGGTGGGGTTTATGGGGAGGCGGGACATGGTCAGGGGCATCCCACCCCAAAATCCTGCAGGAGATTCCTGATCATCCACCAGATCTTCTGAGACTGGGATCACTGAGAGGTGTTTATGGGGAGGTGGGACATGGTCAGGATCATCCCACTCCAAATCCTGCAGGAGATCCCCCAATCATCTACCAGAGCTTCTGGCTGTGACTGGAGTCACTGGGGTTTATGGGGATTGGAGTGGTGGGACATGGTCAGGAACATCCCACCCCAAATTCTGCAGGAGATCCTCCTCATTGTCCACCAGAGCTTCTGGCTGGGACTGGGGTCACTGGGTGAGGTTTATGGGGATTGGAGTGGTGGGACATGGTCAGGGACATCCCACCCCAAATCCTGCAGGAGATCCCCCAATCATCTGCCAGAGCTTCTGGCTGAGTCTGGGGTCTCTGGGTGGTGTTTAGGGGGATTGAGGAGGTGAGACATGGTCAGGAACATCCCACCCCAGATCCTACAGGAGATTCCTCATCATCCACCAGATCTTCTGAGACTGGGATCACTGAGAGGTGTTTATGGGGAGGTGGGACATGGTCAGGAGCATCCCACCCCAAATTCTGCAGGAGATCCTCCTCATTATCCACCAGAGCTTCTGGCTGGGACTGGGGTCACTGGGGTTTATGGGGATTGGAGTGGTGGGACATGGTCAGGGACATCCCACCCCAAATCCTGCAGGAGATCCCCCAATCATCTACCAGAGCTTCTGGCTGAATCTGGGGTCTCTGGGTGGTGTTTAGGGGGATTGAGGAGGTGAGACATGGTCAGGAACATCCCACCCCAAATCCTGCAGGAGATCCTCATTATCCACCAGAGCTTCTGTCTGTGATGGGGTCACTGGGAGGTGTTATGAGGAGGTGGGACATGGTCAGGAGCATCTTATCCCAAATCCTGCAGGAGAGTCCTCACCACGTACCAGAGCTTCTGAGACGGGGTCACTGAGTGGTGTTTATGGGGATTGGAGTGGTGGGACATGATCAGGGGCATCTCGTGCTCCAGGAGCATCCCACCCCAAATCCTGCAGGAGATCCCCCAATCATCTACCAGAGCTTCTGGCTGAGTCTGGGGTCTCTGGGTGATGTTTAGGGGGATTGAGGAGGTGGGACATGGTCAGGAGCATCCCACCCCAGATCCTACAGGAGATTCCTGATGATCCACCAGATCTTCTGAGACTGGGATCACTGAAAGGTGTTTATGGGGAGGTGAGACACGGTCAGGGGTATCTGCTCCAAGAGCATCCCACCCCAAATCCTTCAGGAGACTCCTCATCACCCACCAGAGCTTCTGTCTGAGACTGGGGTCACTGGGAGATGTTCAGGGGGATTAGGGAAGTGGGACATGGTCAGGAACATCTCACCCCAAATTCTGCAGGAGACTCCTCATCACCCACCAGAGCTTCTATCTGAGACTGGGGTCTCTCTGGCTGAGTCTGGGGTCACTGGGAGATGTTTAGGGGGATTGGGGTGGTGGGACATGGTCAGAGGTATCTGCTGCAAGAGCATCCCACCCCAAATCCTGCAGGAGACTCCTCATCACCCACCAGAGCTTCTGTCTGAGACTGGGGTCTCTCTGGCTGAGTCTGGGGTTCCTGGGTGGTGTTTATGGGGAGGTGGGACATGGTCAGGAGCATCTCCTGCTCCAGAACATCCCACCCCAAATCCTGCAGGAGACTCCTCCTCACCCACCAGAGCTTCTGGCTGTGATGGGCTCTCTCTGTCTGTGATGGGCTCTCTCTGTCTGTGATGGGGTCACCTCTGTTTGATTCCTGGGCATCAAATTCCTGCCCGTTTGCAGGCAGAACCTCGTGAGCACGCCAGGAACCCCCCAAGCCCCACATGGCAGTGCCATGGCAGCTCCTGTGCCACCCCAGCCCCGGTGCCTGAGGGATCTGGGCCCTTCTGGCCTCTCCCTCACCCCATCCTCGCAGGTGGTGCCAGGAAAAAGCAGCCAGAGCCTGGATCTCGCATTTCCACCCGTTTATTTGGGAAGCTGCACCAAAACGTTGTGTAATAAATTAAAGCAGAGGCCAAGTGAGGAAGGGGAAGGCAGAGTGGGATCTTCAGCAGAGAGGATGGAGCACCAGGGAACTGGAAAAGTAGGGATAGCTGCAAAACCAGTGGCACAAACCAAATCTGTGCCTTGGGTGTGGTCTTGAAGGTCAAGTTTGAGCCACAAAGTTTGAACCTCCCTCGATGGAGGCACCAGAATGGAGGAGGGAGCAGGGGAGGGAAGCACAAACGCAGGGAAAGGGGAAGCACCCAGGCCTGGAAGCTTGGTCCTCACAGCTCTGTGCCCTCCAGGGATCAGAGAACTTGGTCCTGTCACTGCTGCTTTGGGGTTCTTGATGAAGCTGTGCCCTTCATCCTCCTCTCCCAGGCCTGTTGTTTGTGCTCTGTTCTGTTTGTCCCCAAGGCCAGGCCTGAAGTGGGTGCAGGAAGGTTTGTTCCAGGAGGGAAAGGAGCAGGACTGCCTGGTCCTGCCACGTGGAGGAAGCAGCTCCAGTTTCTGCCTCTCACCTCTGCCCCCAAGGCAGCCACGTCCCAGCCCCTGGTGGGACACTGAACGTGGCCCAGGTGGGGAATGTGAGCACCAGGAATGTGGGATCAGCTCGGGAACAGTGCAGCAGGGATGTCCAGAGTCACCAGCACCCACAGCCCAGCTTTGGGCACTCCGATGTGGCCTCGGCTCTGTCCCACACGTCCCCAAAGCCCCCTGCTCCCCCTCACCCTCCCAACCTCTCCAAAGGGATCCACCGAGGGCTCACAGAGCTCTCCAGCTCCCTCCCCACCAGCAGCAGCACAATCCTGGAGAAAAGGGGGGTCCCACCACATCTCCCCCAGCCCTAACTACAGCCACAAGCATCCACGATCATGTCGGGGATGTCAGTCTTGACGATGTTGCTGTTGCGGTCGAAGTAGAGCACGGAGAGCGGGCGGCGCCGCGTGGGCACGCAGCAGGAATGCCCCGAGGCCTGGACATTGTTGGCTTTGACCAGGTTGAAGACGGCTGTGTGGAAGGAAGAGGCCATGCCAGGGCTGCCAGCCACGTGCAGAGGGCACTGGCCCACGCAGTAATTGATCTGGTAGCCCTCGGGCTTGATGATCCAATCGTTCCAACCGATGTCGCGGAAATCCACGTAGAAATCCTTGCGGCAGCACAGGTTGGAATTCTGGCTGCAGCGGAGGCTGCGCTTGGCCACGCGGTGCCCGGGCTCCCTCACCTTCACCTTGGCCACCAGGAAGGGCTGGTGGGACCAGCTGGCATTGAGCTGGGCCGTGCCATCGCTGCCGTCCAGCTCCAGCCGCAGGGTCCGGCTGTGCGCGGAGAAGAAGCTCTGGAGCCCCGGCAGGAGGGGGAAGGAGCTCCAGGCGCTGCCCGCCGTGCTCAGCCGCCTCTCCGCCAGCAGAGTGCGGTTGCCCCCAGCCCCAGCCCCGGTTTTGGAGGCCAGGAAGATCCTCAGGGTGAGGCCGGAGCGGGGAACTCGCAGGTAGAGCCAGAGCTGAGCCTGCAGGAGGAGAAGGTCCTGCTCCTGCGCTTGGCTGAACTGGAATTGCAGCCCCACACTGGGGGGAGATGTGAGATCTGGGGGGAGAAAGGGAGGAGGAGGTGAGCGCTGAGGGATGCTCCCAGGCCATGCAGAGAGTCAAAACTTCCAGTTTTGTCTGTCCTCCACCCTTCCCTGCACCCCAATCCCAGGCAGACGGGGTGCAGAGAGGGATCCTGCACTCTCCCGGCCCTTCTCCGCACGGGGTGAGGCTGGAAAGCGCTTCCAGCCCCCCAAATTAACCCTGCAGCTCCCAACCCAAGAGTCTCAGGCACCCCTCATGTTTTTGGGGGACAAAACAAATCCCGAGAAGCAGGAGCAGGAGAGGAACCACCCCCTGTCTCCTTCCCGGGATGTCACCGGTGCGAGATGGGTTTGGGGACTCCCGAGTCACGCACAGCCCGCGG